GTGGCAGAGCTCAGCCCTTGCGATTTTGGCTTAACGGCTGTGTCTCTGAGTTCAGCTGGGAGCAACTAGGCTGAACAACAGACAACTACACAGAGCCATGTTAGTGAGCAGACCAAAAAGATAAGCTACCATGGTATTAAAAGTGTCCTGAGGAGCTTTTTCCCCTCTCTGCTGTGTTAGGGGGATTACCTGCTGCATGAAAACATATTGGATGCTTTCCCCACTTTGTATTAAAGTCATAGAATCATAGGCTGGTTTGTGTTGCAAGGGACCTTAAAGATCATCTAGTTGAACCCCCCCGCAATGGGAAGAGATACCTTCCACTAGATCAGGTGGCTCATTGTCTCATCCAGCCTGGCCTTGAACTGTTCTGTTGATGGGTCTGTCACTTCTGGTGTTTGTCATCCTGAGCTGGCCATCCCGGTTCCTAGCTACAAGAAGGGGCCGTGTGTGACTCAGGGCTTAGAGGCAACATTCAGTCTCCTGCAATTAATTAATTTTTTGAGAGTCCCCAAGTCTGAGCAATTAATTTACCAGTGATTTTACCTTTCATTAGAATCTTATGTTTATATGAATAAACGTTTCCACCATGAGGGTGGTCAAACACTGGAACAGGAACCTGGAGGCGTTGTAGGATTTCCATCCTTGGGAATATTTAACACTTGACTGAACAGGTCCCTGAGAAACTTGATCCAGTCTCTTCTGATTTAAATTACTCTGTAATTCTATCATTATGAGTTCCTTAGGACAGGACCTATTGCACCATTGCTTCTCCAGGTGCACTTCATATGTGATCATTTAACCCCAGCCCTCTCCAAGAAGCTCACGAGGGTAGTCAGAGTCAAGCAGCAGCCTTCTGGTTTTATTTTCATTGTTTTATTTCCATTAGTTCTAAAGGTGTAGAAGTTATGTGGATTGGTAGCCATACTACTTCATAATATATATTTTTTTACATCTTTAAATAATTACAGCTTGTTCAGTTGGTTGGTTTCCCTCTCCCCCTTACAAATAAGTGTCTGTTTCTGTAGGACCTTCCCAGGTGATCTGGGAAGCTTCAAACTTTATACATGGGGAGAAAAAAAGCAAAACAAAACACCGCCTCTGACATAGTCACAGCTTCAATGTTATATTAAGAGTTGTTCATTGCTTTTAAAACTCCCTTACAATATTCCCGAGCTCCTCCTGATGGCACCCTCTCCAGCCAGCTCATAAGATTGCAAGGGAAATATGGATCTTTTCTGATCAATTTACAAAAGAATAACCAAAGTGATTCAAGGTATTGCACTTCCACAAAGAGGAAAGACATTCAGAAATGGTTAAATGACCTTTCTACCCTTCTGGCTCCCCATCCTGGTTCTCATCTGCCCATCTCACTCTGGTGACCACTGAGCCATTGCAAAGGTCTGGTTTGGCACAACCAAACCTTGTGCTGCAAACCCTTCGACATAAAAATTTGCATGTGTCATTAATGATGACCTCTAAGGGAACAAATCCTGTAAACACATTTACATATGTGCTTAAGTGTTTTGCAGCACTGGGCGCTTCCTTCTTAGTCCTCAGGGCAAGGATAGTTCTTGGTACTGCATTTGTGTAGGACCTGGCCTGGGTCACTAAGTTCTCCAGCCACGCTGCAATGAAATAAATTATTGCAATAAAAGCAATAATTGTCTTGCCCTAACGAGTCTCTAATAATTGTGTCTCTAATTTCATTAGCAAAACAGGCTCTAAATGCCATCATGGGAAGGAAAGCCGAGTTCAGATGGAACCCAGAATTTTGTAAGTTGCCCCTCTTGCTAGAACGAGCCGAGTCTCCTGAAACTGGTAGCACTTTTATCTTCCCGTCCTGTGAGTATCCCTTCACCTGCCACTTCTGGTGTTTGTCATCCTGCATTGACCGTCCCAGCTTCTACCTACAAGCAGGGGCTCTGTGTGACTCCTGGGCTTGGAGACAACGTCCAGTCTCCTGCAATGACTCATTGCTTGGGAGTCCCCAAGGCTAAGCAATTTATTTACCAGTGATTTTGCCTCTCATTATAATCTAATGTTTATTTGGAAAAACATTTCCACCATGAGGGTGGTCAAACACTGGAACAGGAACCCAGAAGCGTTGTAGGATTTCCATCCTTGGGGATATTTAACACTTGACTGAACAGGTCCTTTGGAAACCTGATCTAGTCCCTTCTGATTCAAATTACTCTGTAATTCTATCATTATGAGCTCCCTAGAACAGGACCCATCTATTATGGTGTGTTTGTACAGCACCTAGCATGACGGTGCTCCATCTGAGTTCAGCCTCTCACCACCTTGACATCAGTGTTGTCCAGAATATGGCAAATGCTCCTGGACCGACAATACCTCTACAACAATTTTCGGTAATCGAAAAGAACAACAGAACCCGATGTATCTGGACTTCTACTGTTTGTGGTGCAGAAGGGGGGACAAAAGAGCCAGTTTCCACCACTAAAGAGAACCAGGTTGTCCTCACAGCCCACAGACCCTCACCTTTTGAAAGCGGACATCTTGTTCTGTTATCAGGGTCCTTGTAAATGCTCCTCACTGTGTTTCAAGAATTATTTTTAAGGCTTTGAGGAAGGCTGAGAACCAGGTATCAAATCTCTACCGTGGTCATATAGATAACCTGAGGGAGCATAAGGCAGGCTTATGTTCTGCAGGGGTTTTCTCCTCTTGCATTGCAAGCAGATTCCTTTATGGCATCTCGGAGTGTGTTTTAAGGGCAGGTGAAAAATTCAGCCAACGAGTTTAGCTCTGAAGGCAGTAGAAGGAGTGCATTAATAAGGCAAGGTGAACAGAACCTCTGGGACCATCTGTATGGAAAGAGAAATGGGGTGTGTGGTTGGTCTGGACTTTAGCTACTCTCCAGGAGGCCACCCGCTCCCCTCCCTCTCAGGTTGTCCAGGCTAGTTCTCGATCTCTCAGATGTGTGCATTAACCAGATGGCATCTTTGTGGTGCATGCTTCTCTGTCACAGAGAGGAGTTCACACCCAAGAGAGATCAACTGCCATTTACAAAGGAATGTAGTTCAAGAAGGAGGCCGGCTGAAGACCTGCATGCCTGGGAAGAAATGCCTTTATGTTTTCACCCCAAATTCATATTTTTAGGTGTTATTTCTGGCCTCTTCTCTGCAGCTTACCAGGCCTGAGCAGAATCACAGAATTTAATTAATTTTTATTCATGTTTCATGAATGTCTTTTCCTTGTCTGTAATTAACACTAACGAGACTAGACCCTTCATTAGCTCAGCAAGACAGAGTGGAAACTCTGGTGCAAACACCATCCAGCCATTCCCTTGGCATTATTGCCATGGTGGTTTTCTCTGGGGAGTGCAGAGGCTCTGTTGCCCCTCCCAAACCCTGCAAATCAGAGTTACGCAGAGCACAGGGAATGTGAAAGGGTCCAGGTCTCTACTGTGACTCCAGTCACAGTCTTTGTCACAACAAGTCCACTTAAATCCTTCTCCTTAAAGAAGCTTTTCTACCATCAAGGGGAAAATGGTGAGTTCAAACAAAGAAAATACAATGCCATTCTTTTTCTTCAACCATGTATGTGGCTTTCCTCTTCTCCAAGCCATGTATCTTGGTATTTGGGTGGAAACACTCTTTGTGGGAATGTTAAACATTGGGAGATGGAGGATGGCATATTTCAGGGGGGATGCACAATCCCTCTTCTAGATTTTCACTTGGTAGTTCCTTACTTGAGTTCTGGATGCAGGGAAGAAAGAGGGGAGCTGGGAAGGCAAGAAGAGCAGCAGAGTTTGGTATTGGACAGAAACAAGAGCGGAGAATCTTGTAGGATGAGGTCTCCCAGAAAATCTCGAGAATCTGTCCCTCCTTGGAAACGATGAAAATGTCATGGCAAGCATCTGGTGAAGCACTTAGACTGCATAGAGGAGCTGTGGCATCGAGTTTGTTAAGCACATGCTAGAGAAAGAGCAGTCAAGTATAGCAGTGATCCCTTTGGGAAAAGGGAATGAGTCAGTGAGCTCTCAGCATCTCTTCCAGCCCCATTTGCTAGGATTCCCCGGTTGCTGAGAGCCTTATGGGCAAGAAAAAGCATGAATCTTGTTTAATACTCATGCATGAATGGAGTTATGCTTCTCTTGCAGGCAAGCAAGTCTGTGCACATGCTTGGTAAAGAAAAAGGCTCCTGCCTAACCTCTGTTAGAGGCTGAAGCCTTCGCTTGTTGCAAAAGGTGAAATCCTTAGGGATTAGACGTGTGAAATGGTCGTAAGCCAGCTGTTAGGGGGAAAGTGGGCACTTACAGTACAGTCAAAAATAAATGACAATCAGATTTCATCAATGACATCAAAACCAACAGAAAAGTATGCCAAATAATTAAATTAGCTGTCTCGAAAGCGATGGCATAGCAGCAGTAGAAGAGCATCTTTCACTTGCTGTAGTCTTGAATAATCTCTAAGCCTGGTTTGTAGCTATCCATAAGGGAATTTTCTCCAGGATTTGATGACCAATGTGGGTGTCTTCTACTTGCTTCCAGAAGGTTCCTCCTTCCAAAATCTCCCTTTGACTTTGGACAGACCTTCTCCAGGCCCAGCCAACAACCTTTTGGAAACACAGTCCCATGATTTTGTAATGATAAATAGGAAAGGAGTTACTATTAAATACAGACATTCATTAGGTTTTCAGACCATCTAGGAAAATGAAGACAAAGCTCTAGATGTGGGAGCTGAGGATGTGTGGCAGAGGGGGGTCTCTTTTTTCTTCTCTGCCCTAGAGCATATCAAATCCACTAAAGCCACCACAGCATATCTAGAGAAGTCTGTTCAACAAACTGTTCTGAAACTGGCTCCATTTGGTGGAAGATCACTGAATTTGGGTAATGAGAAGATGGTGGCATTTTCCTTTGGTCAGGAAGTAGATGACAGAAGTAAAAAAGTGTCTCTGCTCCACCATCGTCTGAGTCTTAAATGCCAGATGTTTTTAAATAAACAAAACTCAAGAACTGTGTCCATCTTTGTGTTTCTGGCTACTTCACAGAAGGTAGTGACAATCAAATAGAGAGGCTCATTTAAAGTGGGAAAAAAGGTTTCAAATCCATTAGTTACTTTGAGATTTGAGTCTTCTCTGTTCATTTCATAAGAGCTCTCCTACACCTCAGATAAGTCCTCTTTACCTCTTTGCTGGACCATCTCACAAGGGGAGACAAGGCAGGAGAGCAGGGGAGGTGGGAAACAACATTGCCTTGATGATTACGTGGCATCTTCTTCATCACTCAAGCACATTAGCCTGAAGTCCATGGGTGGAAGAATTATGCAGTTATGATGTCCCCATGATTTTCAGCTAACACCAGGCTGTTCCAGGAGTCCTGTTTGGAGCTGGTTTGTGGAGATTGGCTGATAGCTGACTGGTAAGCCTGCGGCGAAAGCTTCAGAGCTGAAATCGCAGGGTGAATAGATGATCCATGTCCGGACATGGCAGGGACTGAGAATGCCTATGGAAAAAGGAAAATCCTGTGAACAAAGCTTCAAACCATAGAGGACCACAGGAATCCCTTTATGGGGGGCTGGTGCTATTGTAATAACGTCTGTGGATTTGCTGTAGAGCTCCAGATTGCAGCTCATGCGTCATACTTTGGACAGGCTCCTTCCTTCTTGTTCCAGACCCTGTTCTTTCATATTACTGCATATGGGGCATCTTGTTATCTTCTAAATGTCATAAAATATTGTTTTACCTCCCATTTCTTGAGATCTCATTAGCCTTGGGCTCTCCTAGCTTTCAAAAGGATTGGATTGCAGAGCACATAACAGGGCTGCAAAGTGCAGGTGCAGGATCAGTCCAGCACGACACTCAACCACATATTTTTTTCTCCAGGGAGAAAACTGGAGTTCCCTGTGTGAACCCAAATGGACTGCAAGTATCGTATACCTCTGCCTCTTAATCGTGCTGTGCTGTGGGGATCCTCAACCAGGGCACAGTTATTAAACCTGCAGACATTCACACAGATCAGCTTCCAGATCTGAGTGTTGCTCAGCAGGATACACACCTTGCATGGATGCAGTGCTGGTCCCAAAACATTTAGTTATGGATATGGTACAGAGCACACCACTTACCCTGCAGCACTCTGCCATCATGCTGGCTTGCTTTACCTTTGCAGGGACTCAACTCAGTTAGATTTGGACTGTGGGAGTTTATTCTCCCCACACTGCATTTCTGATATTGCTCAACACACAGGCAGCCAGTGCAGAGAAAGTGGGATGATGTTACCAAGTTTTTCCTTGCCCAAGACAAATGAAATCAAATCACAAAAAGGGAACAGACATTTTCGTGCTATGTGACCTATGTAGCTGCCCAGCTAGAAGGAATTTCATGTTTTCAAGAAAGCTGTCACTTCTTACTGTCTATTCAGGACTGCCACACATCATTAAAAACCTATATTGTGCTGTAGACATGGTGGCAAGAATGTGGGGTTTTGCCCCATCGCAGAGGATTGATCTCTTACTGTGAACTCCTAGACCCCTGGTTTGAAAAGAGGCAGCCTTTTTCCACGGAGGTTTCAAGGATGTTGTTCTCACCATGTCTACCATCCTAGTTCCCATCTTCGTCCCACTGCCAGCATCTCCCCTCTGTACCTGAGAAATTGGGCTGGGGTGCCCGTAATGAGATGAGAGCCCAGGTTCTGTTTTTATGGGGCGCATTTCCTCAGTGGTCGTGGTGCTGCTGCTGCTGCTGGTGGAGCTGGTGGTCGGGGTAAGACTCTCACTGCTGGATGGACCTGTGAGAAAGCAGATGGTAAACAAGGCTCTCCCCAAAGACCTTTCAGTACAGAGCTGTACCCACCCACCTGAAGTTAGTGTGGGTAAAAATAAAAAAATAAATAGTGGGAAGGGCTTTGTTATTGCTGAAAGGCATTCAGACATCCCCCATTTTTGAAGATTCAGCCCATTTTGTGGCTGGGTGTCTGACTCACAGGACATGATGGTCAGAAACACAAGCGCACACACATATACACATACAATAAACTCCCTCGTTCAACACTTGCCTGCTGGCGTCTTCGTTTTGTTAAGGTTCTTCGGCTTGCGCTTCCTTGTCTGAATGCCCTCTTTTCTCATTGCTAAAGGCCTTGGAACCTACAAACCCAAATATAAAAGCACATTGGTTTCTGTATGTCCTTAGGGTCATCTAGAAGAACATGATTCCAGCTCTGCCTCATAGGCTTCATGAAAACCAGTTGCTTTAATTGAAAGAAACAACAAGATGGAGCCCAAAGTCACTGGTCAGCACTGCTGTGTGAAGACATATGTCAAAGCTGTAAGGTGTGCTTCCAAACAATGGTTGATGCCCCATGCCTGTCAGTGTTTAAGGACATTTGGACAATGCCATTAATAATATGCTTTAATTTTTGGTGAGCCCTGAAGTGGTCAGATGGTTGGACTAGATGATCGCTGTAGGTCCCTTCCAACTAAAATATTCTAGTCTATTCTGTTCTAGTCCAAATAGGAATAGGTAAGCTTTTCACACCATAGATATTGAGTGTTTTAAGGCCAGAAGGGTTAAGCAGCTCATATGATTTACTTTTCTGTTTAACTCGGAGCAGAAGACATCCTTCTGGCTAATACTTGCTTTCTGGAAAAGTACCAAGCCTGTGTGCGGAGACCTCCCTTAGGAACCGATCCTACTGTGGTAGTCACCCTCATAGTCAGAAACACACTGGGATTTCTAGGAAGAATTTGTTGGGTTAGGTAAGGCTTCCCCTCATCCGCCTTGACTTCTAGCTTTGACCTGTCTCTCATGAATGCTCTTCCATCCACTCTGAAGCACTGGAAATCCTTGAGAGCATGGATGTGCATAAAAAAACCGTACAAATAGCAACGAGAAGAGGAATTTGCTACTAAGCAGTTGCCAGGGTGTTGAAGGCCTCTGTCTCTGCCATGGGGGTGTCCCTGTTGCTGCTGACTGGTGGGAGAAGGACTGGAGATTTGCATTTTGAAGTCCTGCTATGCCTTGGACTCCAACAGGATATAAAAGACGTGACATGGATACATGAAGCCCCCACTGACAGGAAGAGACTATCTGAACACCCGTGCAAGAAAAGTCATCAATAGCTCCTATGACAAGTCTACAACCAAGTCTTAGCTAGGATCTTGCAGCCCATATGAAAGGTCCAAGACCTCCTTTGTGCTTCTAACTCAGGTTTTTCACTAAAGTGCCTGAATTTAGGTGGGAAGAATCTGGGCCTACTTTTATTGGGTTTTAAGACTTGGATGCAAAGGGTATAAAATTAGTATGTGATAAATGTCCTGCATCCATCACCCTTTGCCAGTATAAACATGATGTAATGTTGTGGGGGACTAAGTCCAATAGGGACAGCAGGAAAAACAGCTCCAAGAGAGCACAGAGTTGTACAACGAAGCCAGTCCCCAGCTTGGTGCTATCAATACCCTCCCCATAGAGAGTAAAGATCAATGAAGACATTACCCCATGGAGCTTCATGTAGAGTCCGCAGGCATTACAGACGGGCTCTCCCTCGGCATTTCTGCGCCAGAGTGTGGTTGTCGTTGTGTGGCAGTTGGCACAAGAGAGGCCGACGCGGCGGGAAGCAGACTGTGAGAAAATGCAGAGGAAGAAAACATATCAGCCCCCACAGGTACCACCAGCAACATCTCAGATCCCAACAAGCTCACTCCAGCACGCCTCAGGTTCTCCACTCCTCTTGCCTCCCTTCTCATTTCTCTGCCTTTTTCCCTTCTCACCTTGGTGCAGTGGATAACACAACTTCTTTTTTCTTCCCCTCTTGCCTTTTAGCTTCTGCTCCACTGCCTTTCCACTGCCTCCTGCCTGCCAGCGCTGCACAGACATCTCAGCTGTCCTGGGGCATCTCAGATGGTGCCAGAGACATCACCTGAATAGTGCCCCAGATCTCCAACAGGTCTAGTAGCAGCTTAGAGACCCACTGCACCTGCACACACCTACACTAAGGTGTCTGGATCTCAGACTGTCCTGCCCTTTCAAGCTCCCAAGCCCTTCACCTTCCAAGCATCATGGCATATCCCAAGAAGACATTATCAATGCCATGAATGTTACATACTCCTTGCTGGGTTTGCGTGATGTTGTTCGTGTGGCTTGAGGGGGAGATAAGAAAAAGAGTGCTTCCAGCAGCATCGTCTTCCTAGAGATAAAGAAGGATAATTAATAGGAATCCCCACTAACGAAGCAGGGCAGGGAGCAGACCTTTTGAAATTCCCTGAGTGATCTGGTTTAGCCACGCTCAAAAGGCCACAGAAGGAAGACAATGAGCTTGCAACCATATAAAATATCAGTTGTGAGCATGGAAGCGGAGTGGGAGGTGGGGGAAGAAAAAGCCACATCCTCTATGCCTGCCTGACCCTTCCCAAGCATCCTTCAAAGCATGGGTCTTAAAAGGCTGATGGGCAAGGGTCAAATTCCCTCTTTGCTTGCTGATAAACTGGGGACTGAACAGACGTGCTAGAGCTGTGTGAAGACATCTGTTCTCATGGTGCCTCAAGAGGAGACTACAGGGAGGAAATCTGGTGCTCTGGGACATCTACCCAGTTCTGCAGACCTCAACAGCATAGCTGGCTGCTGTATATGAGGTGAAAGCCCAGGGAACAGGGACCTGGCTGCTAACAGGGATTTCCTCTGTGATCTTTGCCACAGCTTTCTTTCTGTGTCTTCTCCCTCATTATAAAACAGGATCAATTAATCTACAGCAGCAGGATGATAAAAATTGAAATTCAAGTACTTCTTAAGACTTCAAAAGCTGGAAGCCCCTTTGGTGCAGAGAAACCAAGCACTCCTTTCGTTGTAACCTCACCATGTATTAGCTTCAATCATTGGCTTTTTAAGTGGACTGAGAGCTTAAAAACAGGCTTGCAGCAAAGGCAAAGACCTCCCCTTTCAGGGCTCCCTGGCTTATCTCAGTCTCCAAAAAAAGGGGTTACACGGTGAGAGATTAAACCCGATCACTTATACTGAGTATATTTATTCAGGCAGACCAATTGCCACTACTTTAACCACACCCTTACATTGCATTCCTAGACATATCCTCCCTTTCATCATGGAAATTCTCCTTCAGAAGAAAAAACAGGAATTTGGTAATTTTTGCAAGTTTTCCAGATTGCCAAGCGGCAAGAACACACATACGGATCTGCACAGCCCATGCATTTATATTTCTCATGGGTTTTTCCAAGCCTTTCCCCAAGCCTATGTAGAGTTAACAGCATGCATTGTTACTTGCTGTAAACGACCAAGCCTGGTAGCCAATGGGCCATTCCTTGACTACACAGATGTGCCCAAGGATAACATAGAATCACAGAAGGGTTTGGGTTGAAAGGTATCTTTAAAGGTCGTCTAATCCTGCAGTGAGCAGGGACATCTTCACCCAGAGCAGGGTGCTCAGAGCCCCGTCCAGCCTGACCTGGGGTGTTGCCAGGGATGGGGCATCCACCACCTCGCTGGGCAACCTGGGCCAGGGCTTCACCACCCTCATTGTCAAAAATTTCTTCTATCTAGTCTAAATCTGCCCTCTTTTAGTTTAAAACCGTCACCCCTT